CAGCTGCCGTATGTTTGGCGGAGAAGTATGCTACCGGGTAGAGCTCCCCGTCGTCATGCATCTGTGACAGAGTGCCGCCCGAAGACCAGTCCGAGGCGTCGACCTCGACTACCGTTGGCTTCTCCCAGTCATAGATCTTCAGTACAGGGGCTGTTGTGAATGCGGCTTTCAGGGCTTCGAATGCCCGGTTATGCCTGTCTTCCCATTGCCACTCCACAGTCTTCTTTGTGAGCTCGTACAGAGGTTTGGCCATGGAGGAAAACTTGGCTATGAACCGTCGGTAGAAGTTTGCGAAGCCTAGAAACCGCTGCAGCTGCCGTCTAGATGTCGGTGCTTCCCAATGAGTAACAGCTTCCACCTTCTCTTGGTCCATCTCAATGCCCCCTGGTGTGATAATCAAACCCAGGTATTTCGTGCGCTGAGTATGGAATTCACACTTATCGATATCGATCTGCAGCCCTGCATCAATGAGCCGTTGCAGCACCTCTCTGACGTGTTTAATATGGTCTTCATACGTCTCCGAGAAGATCAAAACGTCGTCGAGATACGCCGTGGCATACACATCCAGGATATCGTACAGCACATCGTTGATGAAGTTTTGGAAAGATGCTGGGGCCCCTGATAATCCGAACGGACACACCAATGATTCGTACAATCCGAACCTCGTAATAAAGGCTGTCAGCCATTCATGGCCTTCCGCCATGCGCAGTCTGTTGAATGCCGCGATCACATCCACCTTGGTGAACCATTTCGCCTTGCAAATGGCGTCCAGAGTCTCTTTTATCAACGGCAACGGGTATCTATTCTTCAAAGAGATATTATTGATGCCTCTGTAATCGACGCAAATCCTCACACCACCGCCTGGCTTGCGTGCAAGCAGTACTGGGGAGGCAACGTCGGACGTTGAGGGTCGAATGAATCCCTTTGCGAGGTTATCGTCAAGCCATTGCTTGATGACCCTGAGTTCTTGCGGTGACATTGGCCTCGCCCTCGAGTATGGCAGCTCATTTCCTGGTATCAACTCGATCTTGTGGTCATATGACCTATGCTCGGGAATGATGTCTGCGTCTCTGGGGTTGGCCACATGAGAGAGATCCTTGTATTCGTCTAAAAACCTGGCCTTGACTTCCTCTGGGGTGTACTTCGGCCTTGTGGACTTCTCCATAAACTTCTGGACGTCCTCCTCTGTGATGCCACAAATGCGATCGATGTCTGTCAACGGGGTGGGCTTCCGTTCCTCCTCGAGCTTAGCCGGCTCCTCCGCCTCGTCCAGGTTGCACACCCGGTTCACAAATGACCGTGGTGTCTCCCCTAGCCTGAAAGAGGTAGCCGAGACCCGCTCGCCTGCTGCTTCAGCCTTGCAGACGTCGATAAACTCGTGAACTTCAGGGTTCTCGAAGAACTTCTTGTAGGGCTCACCGTTCCCCTGCATGATTTCCCGCCATGCGTCTTCTGAAAGAGTAGGCATAGCCACGCGCTGTTTCTCCTTTTGGGCCGCCTGAAGTTCTGCCCAGGTGGTGGCGCTGATGTGTACCCCCCTCATCTTTGATGTAAGCGTAAAGGTCTCGGCATTGACGATCTTGAAGTCCTTCAGGTCAAGAGGTCCCATCTCGAGGCCTGCCGCGTCGAATCTGTGGGAGTAAGCGTGCCCAATCCGCTCCGGCCTCGCCATGGTCCACACCCTGCGGCCTCCTCGGACCTCCACTATCGCCCTGACTTTACTTGGTTTCCTGTCTGGACCGAATGGTTCTTCGAAGTCCTCGGCCGCTGCAGGCCATGATGGTGCCTCCATCATCATTGCTTGGCTACCCTCTGGTGCTTCGGTAAGATAGATGGATGCCCAGTCCGCTACCGATGGCTGAGGCTTCTTTGAGTTGATGATTGACCGTCGTTTCATCGCCTTGGCCACTCTCCTTTCTTCCTCCTCCGGGGGCGAATCAACCGTCGGCTCCGGAGTCGGGATCGGAGGTTCTGGTTCAGGGGTTGGGAGTTCTGGTTCTGGCAACGGCATTGCCGCGGTTTTCATGACCTTGGCCCTGTCGATGCAGCTCCCAACACATCCCTTGTTCCAGGTGACCTTGTTGGTTACCCAGTTGACGTCTGGGTTGTGTAGCTGTAACCATGGCCAACCCAAAATAATAGGATGCTCCTGTGCCAGGTCTGCTACGAATAGTCTTATCGTTTCTTTGTGACAACCAATTCGCATGGTGGTCTCCACGTAATGCTCGACCCATTCCTTGAAGCCGCCATCTGCCAGATGTAGAGGTCGTGCTTTGTCGAGTTGATGCAGCCAAAGGCATGCTTTTTCTGCGAAGGTTCTATCGATGAAGGCCTTCCCTGTGCAACCAGAGTCGACCAAAGATACACAGTTAATTTCACTGCCACGCTGGGGACACCAAAGATAAGTGGATAAGAGGGTGGCATTCTGTCTACAAACATCTAAGCTTTCTATGGACAAAGGCTCGCCTTTCCAGTAAGCCAGAGCCTGCTGAACACTCATGTTCTTGACAGAACTACCTGAAGATTCCCTCTTACCCTTACTCTGTTCCCCGTTGGGCCCTCGAATGCGTCTTAATCCGAGGGCTCGCCATTTCCCTGCTGGGAAGTCTCCGGGGCAGCCGTCTCGGCGGTCTCCGTCGGAGCAGAGGTGTCCGCCATGGACCTGACTTGCTGCTTGCCGGCGCCACCAGTCTGGGCTCCTTTGTTGCCGCCGCCTCCTTGGTTCTTGTTGGCGTTGGTGACCTTGGGCTTGCCACCATAGTTGATCTGGTTACGGCAATTGCGGGCCATATGGCCTGGTTTGCCGCACTTGATGCACTGCTTGGCTGCGAAACGAGCTTGGATGACATCCTGGTCGATCTCATTGATCTTCAGGCGGTCGATTTCCATGGCATCAGGGTCCTTCAGCTTGTTGCCGCCGCCACCGTTGTTGCCGTTGCTGTTGCCACCGCCCTGATTGCCACCGTTACGGAAGGCGGCGTCGTCGAGAGACTTGGACAGACCGCGGCACAGCTTTACCCAGCCGTCCCAATCATTACGGTCCGGGGTGTTGTACTGGTATGACATTGCAGTACGGAGGTCCTTGCTGACCTTGTCCTTCAGCATGCGCACCTTTGTAGCCGCATCGTAACCGCACCTGTCTGCCAACATGGTGAACTGTGCCTCGAAGTCGCTAAAGTTCCCGAACTTGCTGGCCTGCTTGAGCTGCGCCAAGGCCTTCTCGGCGACTGCCACCACGTCTCCTTGTTGGAAACGGGAAGCTAAATGGTCGAGGAAAGCCTGTCCAGTAGGCCAGTCCCAAGCAGCTGAGTGATGAGGGTTGTCCAAGATCTTGCGGATGCTTGAAGCAATGGTAACATGGGCCTCGCCACCGAGGCAGCCCATGGCGTGCAACAATTTGGTCTTTTCGTTGGGAAAGTTGTGTCCGTCGACCTCCCAACGGGTGCGAATGGCTGTGGACCATGCGACAAAACGATTGTGGCGTTTGAAGGTGTCGGTGTCCTCGCCCGTGAAAGACTCGGGGTCCTTGGTCAGATCGCAACAACGAGAAGAGTCGGAGGGGGCCGAGGGGGCGGGAACGAAATGGTAAGTTCCGCCGGGGCCCATGAAGAAGCCACCGGGACCACCAGGACCACCGGGGCCACCAGGATCGCCGGGACCGCCAGGGCCGAATCCTCCAAATCCTCCATCTCCGGCACCGAATCCTCCACCCATGCCGGGTTTCTGGCCGGCAGATTCGCCGGCTCCTCCCATGCCGCTAACGCCGAATCCACCAGCGCCGGTGCCGCCAGCAGCAGCTCCTCCCATGCCGCCACCGTCAGCACGGCCGGTACCATCTGCGCCGAATCCTCCAACACTGAATCCACCTCCGTATCCGCGACCGTTGGCACCTCCAGCGCCGTCGGGCTTGTCGTCGCCAGTGCTGTAGATGTCTGACCAGACGTCCTCATCCGTACCGACGAAGGGGCTGGTGCCCTTGGGGAACTTGTTGTTAGTCGCCTCAGTGGACTTCTTGTCGCTGGCCGCCTCGGCGGGCTTGTTGAATTCGGCGTTCCATTGTGCATTGATCTGAGCTTCCTTGAGCTTCTGCTTGGTATAATCCAGTTCCTCACGCAGGATCTTGGCTTGACTAGCCTTAGCCAGAGCCTCCTTGAGGCTGGCATTCACCTCCGCGAAGGTATCGTTCTGGGCCCTGGAGGCGGCCAGCATATCAGTGTACTGCTGCTCGGCTGAAGCCACGTCGCGCTCCTTCTGAGTGACGACAGCGCGCAAGGAGTCGTTGTCAGACTGCAGGGATGAGACGTTCCTCTGCAAGGCTATGTTTTCTCTAACGACGTCGTTGTACTTCTGTTGTTGATGATTGACTTGGGTGGCCATCTGGGCCTTGAGGCTCTCGAGGGTGGCCACGCGTGACTTGAACTCCTCTGCCTCCTTCTTAGCTATTGTTGCGGCGATGTCCTTCGCCGTGTTAGCTGCGTGGACCTCGTTGTTAAGATCCTTGAGCTTGACGTCGAAGTAGTGAAGAAGCTTCATCACCTCCTCCGAAGCTCTAGCCTTCTCGGCGAAATCACGAGAGACCAGGAGGCCTGTCGCCTCCTCTTTGCAGACGAGTTGGAGCCACTTGAAGCCATCCAACAACGCCGGGAATACCTCACGCAAGTCGACTTGACCGGCGTAGGCCTGCTGCTCACTGGGACCAGACATCTTGTCGTGATCGAGTGACGAAATAAAGGGAAAGATTGAGTGTCGCTCCGTTGCGATACTTGCGCTTGCAATGCTGATGCTGTTCTTGGTGCTTGATTGAGGTTCTCGCTTCGTGTCGACCGGTGTCGGACACGCTCTGATTGATTGCTGACGATTACTCTGATCGCCGAAATGTGATGTCGCGAAGACCAGATTACTGCGGTAGTCTCTTACTACGCTTGGTCAACCCGAAATCACTTGTTGCGCTTTAACGCGATGGTTAGGCACAACAAAGTGTCATGGGGCGCGAGCAAGCACTGAGCTAAGACTTTGATTGTTGTGCGAGGGACAGGAAGAGAGTCCTGTGTGCGCACGAGAACTATGTAAGGCATAGAGCAGTGGGTCCACCCCATGGACCCACCCAGAGCCACCATGTCACATGACAGCCAGTATATATACAGGAACAGGCAGGCAATGCCTGTGACACTATTACAGCAAGTCCCCCCCCAGCAGGTCATCTCCATTCTTGGTCTTCAGACAAGTTCCCACTCGGCACTTTCCGCCTGAGACTCTCCAGCGTCGCTCTCGTGGATGAGGACTATAATACAGTGACAGTTAGCTATAACCAAACCACTATTTGTTTGCTTTATTCTTCGAGTAGTACTTACCGAAGTCGCCGATGTCGACATTGCCCTCGTCGACAAAAGAGTTTTGGTTGACGACAACATCAACCTCTCTGTGGACAGTGGCATTTTGCTTGAGCTCTGTACAGCACAAATCAGCTATACTGGCAATGGATTGACATCCCTGATCCAAGTGTGATAGAACTTACCGCATAAGGCGGCGAGGACGTCACCGCAGAGAATCTCCCTGTGACGGAGCTGGGCAAATTGCTCGGCACTGTTGGCGAAATCGAGTTCCCGTCTAAGGGTGCGAATATAGTCGAGAATGGTTCCCTTGAATTCGTCCGCGGTATAACCGCCCTGCATCGCGAGACCAACGATGCCGACCGCGTATCCAATACGCTTCATGGCCGGCATGTTGTGGGGGTGGCGATCAATCCTCTCGACTGGGGATGAAGTGTTAGTAAGTGCCTCTTTTGACGTCGCGTGCGGCTGTCGACGTCGACTGACGAGGGGCAGATGAAGGTCTGACTTACTCATGGAAATGATATCCTTGGTAGAGGTATGCATAGAGGACGACATCTTGTCAGGATATTGTTAATGTGAGATTGTGAGGGAAGAGAAGTGGTTGGTCGGTAGGTGCTTTTGGTTAAGAGAAAACCTACCCGCACTCTAAGATAACTTTCCTGCACTCTAAGTCCCCATATGACAGCTGTCATATAAATACGGCCGTTTTGTATGGTAATCTGGGGTCTCCCACATGTTCGAAACATCAAACATCCCTCCCGCTAAGTCAATCAGTCAAAAGTCGTGATATTCCTTTGTAGTGGTGTACAAACTCCTACACAGTCGGTCAGCGCAGTGCACTGAGTGCAGTCTTAGTCCCTGAAGTTGTCGCTCCCCTCCTTTGTTTACTTGGTGATCCGCCTCGTCGCCGCCCTCCCTAAGGTAACTACGACAGAGTTATCCCTCTCACGCTTCCTCAACCCTCGGATGGAAGTAAAGACTTTCATTATTTGAAGGGCGACGATATAATGCGATGATGTGCAGTGCTGATGCGACGTGCAAAGATGTAAGACCGGCCAGAAATTTCACGAAATGGAGCGCAATGTTTCGTGCATCGAAATGGGGTATTTTCACGGGTAAAAGTGGGACATTTGGATGTCGGGTGTCATCGCCTGTCATTGACTGCCAGGGACCCTAACCCTGGGGATTTTGGTGGGTCTTAGAGTACGTGTAAGTTATCTTAGAGTGTGGGTAGGTTTTCTCTTGGTTAATTCGCAGGAGGCTGTGAGTTGCAAGGGGAGAGTTTACAAGTAGGACCAGAAAGCTGGTGGAGGGGCAGTTCTTATACCAGTGTCCGGGTTGAGGTGAATGGCAAGTGAACCTGAACGAGCTCCATCTAGCCCGTGCACAGTTGTCCAGTTCACTGTTCACCAATGGTATTTGCTACCTTGGAGGCAGATGGGGGTCTGAGAAAAGTAGCGTAGTAGGGTTTTATCGTGTAAAGCGCCTATGTAGGGGTTTTGGCTTGGAAAATACTTATACAAGTATATTCGATTCTGTAATCTATTATATAGTCGAATATCGTTGTAAGGAAGTAGCCGTTATATTCCAATACGTTATTTCGTTTAGTTGTATAATACGCCATAATAGGGCGTTAGGTGGAAAACGGAATTAATTGTTCAAAATTGATTAAAAGTACGCTAACGGTAAATTACGTCGTAATCGCCCTACTAATACAAAGAATATTCCCTGCAATACCTTCTTTCAGTAAAATTACTATTTGCAATTGTAATAATTAAATTAATGAAATAAATATTCAATCGAAAATATTTATTGAATATATTAATGTCTATTCTAACTTTAAATAAACTTTATAAACCTATTGCAATTATATTTATACTAGATGGTTATGTATAATATATTTATTACTTAGGGAGTAGGAGTAATAGGGAAGAAAGCGTTATATTGGATTACCTATTCTATTTATATAATTCCGTTCGTTCCTTCAATATCGGGTACTAATAATAAATAACGGGAATAATTATAGGTTAAAACTCTATCCTATAGAAGTATTATTAATTAATGTATAATATTTACTTTAAGTGTGCTTCCTTCGAAATTATTTCGATATACCAGTGTGAAATTTATATTAATGTGAAAGGTAATAATAGGAGGAATATTAATAGAAGAAAAGAATTAAAACTTCTAATTTTGGTTCTAAAGAGAAATAACGTATAATATTAGTTGTAAAATAGTATATTAATAGACCGAGCCCTTTAGAGTAAATAGAAATAAGAAAAGAATAGAATATTAGGAGAAAAGAAAATAACCAAATTTTAATATATCGTCTAAGTAGCTATAAATACCTTTTAATATTTAAAGGAGGGTAGGGAGGGAAGGTAAGGAAATAATAAAACTTAATATAATAATGGTTAAAAAGTAGGTAGTGAACGTTAATTATTTATAACGAATATTCTACGGTCTTACTCTTATTTAAATAAATAGAATTTATTGAAATAATCGGTAAGGAATTCGAATTTAAGAGGCGGAATATTATAGGGATTATTCTTTACAATTTAATCCCTTATACTTTTAATATTCTATATTAAATTTAAATTAGGGTTAATTAAGTAATAAATCAAAAAGTATCTTTAGTATAGACCATTCTTATCATCTTTATTAACTTTATTATACTAACGCTTAGTAAATTTTATTCGTATTCTAATAGAATTCTAAACTTTGCCTTCGTACTTAATAATACTATATTTCCAATCGGTAAGTTAATAAACAGTTTTACGTTCTCCCCTATATTTATAAAATTTAAAGGGTTCGGGAATTTCCTCTAGTTTATTAAGGGTTTAAGTAATTATAGAAGTAGGCGTAATCGAATTAGGGATAAGTAAGGTATCTTTAGGTTCAATTCCTTCTAGAATAAATCTATTAGAAATACCCAATGGAATAATATAGGGATAAAGTCTAATAAAAAGTTGATAGTAATAAATTAAATATAATCGCCTGGCAAATTAAGATTATCGACGTTGTTACCGGTTCCTAGAGTATTATTAGGCTAGGGGGGAGGGATAGTAATGATATTTAATTAAATACTAAGGGAATTACTACTTAATGGGTCTTTGTTAGGGTAATAACTTTATTAATTCTTTCCGATTAAAGTACGAAGTTTCTTCCTGAGGGTATATCTATCGGATTTAATATCGCTATTTTATTTAAGTTTTTATTTATTTCTATTAATACTAACTTTATTTTTAGTAGATATATCGTAATCTAATACGTTAATTTAATCGATTTAAGTTATAATATCCTCTATCCTCTCTTTATAGGTAGGAATAATAATAATAGAAGGGACCGGGGGTATAAATTAAAGTATTAATTCTCTTTTACCTTTGGGAGGACGATTATAGTTATATTTAGCGGAAGTATTTTTAATAGGAATAATAGTAGGAACTGTAATAATTATATTAAGGATAGGAAGAATTTTAATAATTTAAGTAATAATTATAATAATTTATTCGGAATTATTACCTTTAATACGCGCCTTTAAAGTCCGGGGATAAAGGTTTTCTATAATAATAGCGGTATATAGTAGGTAAAGGACTCTAAGTATATAATTGGGTTGAAATACATTTGTTAGTATATAATAATATTTCGGAGAAATTACCCTTATTATTATTAATAAATTTAATTCCGAATAATACTATATTTCTATTACGGTTAATAATTTGTATTTCCGCTATTGGACGACGGAGGAGGCGAGCTATATTTAACTATTTATTATAATATTCTTACTAATTAAGATTTATATTATAAATAAAATTATTTTCATTTATACCTGAGGTTCCCGTAATATTAACTACGAATATTGTAAATGTCAGACCTTTATTCGGATTATTATTCATAATAATTTCCTTTAATAAGATTAAAAATAATTTATAATACTTATTTAGACGAAAGCTTTTATTAATAATAATATCGACGGTATTTAAAGTAGCGTTTCTTATTATATTTTTCTTATCGGGGATATAGACGGTAGCGGTAATAACTTTATTTTATTCTGTAAGAGTAGGAATAGGAATAGGAGCGCCCGTAATAACTTCTAATTGAAACTTCTTATTTTTATTATTAAGAGGTTTACTTCTATGTAATTTCGGGTTTTTTAGGGTAGTAGGAATAATAGCTGGATCAGTAATAGAAATTTAAATACCCGTAATTTAAACGTTAATAATTTAAATATTTAAAGGAAGGGTAGAAGTAATACTAGTAATAGCTTGGAGTTTATTCTTGTTACTACGAAATCTACTTCTACGTACTTTAAACTTTATATTAGGCTCCGGGACCGCGAATAGCGCGGGAATAGTAATAGAAGTAGGTTCGGATATGCTTATAGTAGAGGAAATCGATTTCGTAATACTATGAATACTTCTAGCTTATACTTTTCTACTACGTTAGCGTCTAAATCCTCTTCCTATAATATATATTAGCGTATATATATTAATTATTTCCGGTAAATTTAAAGTAAGAATCATATAATTTACTTTTACTGTAACGGGAAATTACGAACGTTCGTAAAAATGGAGGATTAGTGTATTAACGAAATAATATAGAAGAATAATATAATAATATAATATAATCAAGGTATTAATAATAGATAATTATATTAATCTTTCTAAATAGAGATATAATAGTTAATATAATATAAAAGGAAGAAAAATAAAATACGGAAGAGGAGTTAGAAATTTATTTTATTATAACCAGGAATAAACGTACTTGTAAATAGGACGAGGGACGATAGGATAATGTACCGTATATATTAATTTTTAATAATCTTATAAAAATTTAACATTTTTTTTAAATTGAAATTTTAATATAAAATTGAGCTAGGAAATGTTTAAGAAATGGAAATCTCCCCTTATTGGTACTATTTTATTTAAAGTAGGTTTTTATACCTTTAGGCTTTATTTTGGTATTTACTTTATTATTATAATAGAAAGGAGAATTATAATAATAAATATTTAAATAATTTTATAATTGTATTAATTAAATTGGAATTGCTAGAAATTATTAAGAATAATTAATTCTATTAGAAGACTAATATCGAAATGTTCGGAAATATACTAGTTATTTACGTTCAATACTATACTTTATCGTATATTATATAAACGTTTTAGTTCAATATATATTAATAATATATAATATAAAACCGAATATTATACTTGATTATATATAAGATTATTATAAATATTATTATCTCGTCCCTTTTTCCTTTATCATTATTTATTAGTATTGTATAGAAAGGATTGCGAAATAACGCTTATGTAAAAAAATAAAAGAAAATAAATTATTAAATATCCGTATTATCTTCCCGATTAATACTTATTAATTCTACGCCTAAAAGCTTATAATAATAAAAATCCGGCCTAAAGAAACGAAAATGTACTAATATTTAAAATAATAAAAAAGAAAAGAAATACCTCTATATTATAATTTATTAAAATGGTCTTATTATATTTCGTATACGTCCTTACTTTACCGTTTATTTTCTATTTAAATTATGAATAATAACCTCCTTTATAAACTCTTTATCGTTCTACTCATCGTTTATTTCTTCCGTAATTTTCCTTCAGGTAATCTCTATAGCCGGGGTTATATTACCCTTGCGTAT